GGCTGAGGTGGTAAGTACACGTGGGATTGGAAGGGGAGGGGTGTATTGCTGTGTGCGCTGCCGACTGCTGTGGGATAGCAGGACTCTGAAAGGTGCTGCTGCTTTTCCTCAGATATCTATCGAGGGGAACATTGCGAGTGGAAAAACAACATGCCTGGATTATTTTGCACAGACTACCAGCATTGAGGTACGGGAGGGACGTTTCTTTGTCTTTATTTACACCGTTAAGCGTTTGCTTGTCTTGACAAAGTTGACTGTGTGACCACCTTTTGAGGTGTTGTCCTGTTTTAGGCTAATGAGAGAGGAGCTGCAGGCTCAGCAGGCTGTGAGCCTGAGCCCTGGCTGCTGCACTGCCCCTGCCCAACGTTTATGTAGAAGAGAAATTTAGACCATATCTAGTACAGTACTGGATACCAAAATGTCAGTAAAACCTGTGGATTAGAGTCTGTAGGTCTGTGAAGCAGCAGTAAGCCACATGGGTGGGGCATGCCTGCTTGCTGTCTTGTGGCACTTAAATCTGACATGTCTCTTGTAATACGCAAAGCAAAAACAGATAAAGGATGCTGTCAAAAGACTGCTGTCATGTAACTGGGATCACCAGTAAATGGGTGCCTTTTTAAAAAAATGAAAAGCCTATTAGAATTGTGTCTGGAGATTTCTTAGACAGGTGTGGTATTTGATTTCATAGTGCTTAGAGCAAGATTGGGGAGGGCAGGCTTACTGTCTTTTTACAAAATATAGACTAAACCTCAGTGAACAGTTGCTTTTGTACATATTAAATATTAATACTTTTCCTGCCTGGACATATTGGGACGGGCACCTGGGAACATATTTGATAAGTTTTGGGATTCCTTATAGAAATACTGGGTTGCCAGATGTCATTTGGTAATTTAGCAGGAATTGATCCTTACAGAGTAAGTAACTGTTAACCCAAAGGATAGCATGCACATAGTGCAGCGTTTTAGAAAAAGCCAGTTAGTTAACTTCCCAAGCTTACTGCATTCTTTTAGGCCTGGCTCTGCAGTACCCTTGGAGCTTTAGACCCTGTTGGGACCAGATGAATCTCTTGTGGTTTTACCTATTTGGGGTAGAAGCTTTTCTGATTAATTTTGTAAGTTTTGACTATATTTTGTTTGTTAGATCACAAAATAAAATGAAAGTAATATGATAGCTGTCTGATCCTCTTTTCATTTGCTGAGTTGTTAACTCTCTGAGAAATTAACTTGTGAGGTCATGAGCAGCTCACTGAAATGCAACTGGTAATCAGCTCAGCCATTCTTTCCCCTACATGGTACTGATTTTGACTTGAAAAACAAATTATATCCACGTTTGTTTGGTAATTAACCCAGTGTTTTATTTTTGCCATTTAAAAATTCTGAAAAGATGTGTATGATATTTCTCTGTTTTTCAACAATATTTACTATTACCTTTTGTATTACAGGGTTGAGTTTGTGGGTTGTTTTCTTTTCTTTTTTTTTCTTTTTTTGAAGAGGCATTAGCTTTCCAGTGCAAGTCTTGAATACTCTGACTCACAGAATGAGTATTCATTAAAACCAGCTGTAAACTTGTAGGGTCAGATTAGGTATTCTGAATCTAAAATATGTTTAACATGGAGTAATTATTTTTAACAAGGTTTTGACAGAACCAGTGACTAAATGGAGGAATGTTCGTGGTCATAATATCCTGGTAAGTGGCAGAAATGATTTCTACAGTTGCAGTTACTGTTTTTTTAGAAAGAGATGCACGAGGACTTCTTACTGATTGGCAAAACTGTTAGGAAGGGTTTGGTCATAATCTAATACAGGAAAAAGTAAAGCTCTGTGATGCAAAGACTTAACGGTGGTTAAGAAATGAATAAAATAGAAACTTGCATATAAAATATTGTTTTGGCAAGGACTAGGTCTTTTTCTGGGTATGAGCTAAAGAAATTCACAGGAAGGTAATCCCTGAGTGTGACAATTGTTTCCAAGTCTCCATGTGCCTATTTCGGAGAAGGGAAGAACATCACTCAGAAAATGAGGGGTGAACCTCATCGGTTAATGTTTGACTGCTGAAGATAAGAAAAATCCAGTCCTGTGAGGTGTTGAGAGCTTCTGCTGTTTTGGGTAGTCATTATTTCTTGCAGCTTCTCCTCACAAGTATGTCCCTTTGTCACAGCCGTGCTCAGAGACAGCAGTTGGGGCTCTGACTGCACCTGCAGATAGGCTCTTGCTGGCTTGGTTGAAATGGGTTCTGATGTTGGTCTTCCCTGCTTGTGTGATCAACTCCACTACAAAAATGTCATTGCTGGCCAAGATGGGTATCCGTGCTCAAGCTCATGTGGAATTTGTTTTCAACACAGTGATGTGGATGGACCCCCAACAATGTATGCCCAAACGTGTACTGTCACTGCTAGCATAGGTCCTCTAAAGTAAATTGACCCTACTAGGAGTTGCTGATTCTCTGCTTTCTTATTATTAAAGAGATAGGGCATTCTTGGCTGTGTTACCCATGATGGTAGCAATCTGTGCACTTTGGAATGTTTTCTCATTCTGATCTTGGGCAGGGAGAAAAGGAGGAGGTCTGATCTGTGGGCTGAAACCATGCCTCTGACTTAAAAGCTTGTCACTTCTGCAAATAGACACTGAATAGTGTTTTATTTTGAGTCAGATTTGTTTGCTGCCTTGCAGGTTAGACTGTTGTTTGTAAATGTGTGTGTATGCAATTGCAGCAGTCAGAAAGAACAGAGGATCTCAGAACTGCTTTGAGGATTTTTGAGGAAGAACAGTTCTCTGTGTTACAAGACAGCTCCTGATGCCCAGGCCATACTTACTGGAACCATATATGCATTTCTGGATGGACTGGGTATCCTGAGAGGCTGTCACTGCACAAAAAGAGAGTAGCAGATACATTTGTTGTTTTAATTACTAAACATACCTGAACTGTCTCAGATGAGCTATGCATTGGTCCTGACTGTTCCAGGCGCAGAGTAGCTAATTCCTGTTGCCCAGTGAGAGTTCTGAGTGCCCCACTTAGTGTCTCTCAGGGGCAGGACTGTAATCCTTACACCCACGTTGTGGAGGCCAAGTGATCACTTAATGCTAGTCAAACCTGGCATTAGCTGTTTGAGGGCGCTTCTTGTAGCAATTCTGTTGTAGAGCAAAAGCAAAGTACTCAGCTTGACGTTGTGTGCTCTTTGACCTGACAAAAACGTCTGTCTCACTTCCCTCCCTAACGCCAGGGCTTGATGTACCAAGATGCATCAAGATGGGGGATAACCTTACAGACTTACGTGCAGCTTACCATGTTGGAGCAGCACACCAGGCCAATGGTAAATAAACATATTTTTATTTTAATTTTAAAATGAATTGGATGCAGTGATGAGTAATAAATATTTTTAACCTTGTATCCAAAAGTTAAGGTGCTGCTTGTGTTCGTTCTTTGTTCCTGCAGTGACTATGAATTTTTGTGGTGCAGAGACGTTGTTGATAGGCTCAACCTGTGCTCCAGGGGTGAAACATCTGCCTCCTACCTGCTCAGAATTTTTAATTCCCCAAACTAACAGTGCTTTTTTTGCACCACCCTTATGAGCTAGAGTTGCACAAATACCTTCCTCATCATCACGTGTCAGTGTCTTGTCTGTAATTGGTGTCTATATAAATGTAGCTATTTCAGATCTTTGGCCAAAATTAAGTGATTATTAAAGATAGTGTTAGTATTCATTCTGCTGCTGCATGCTGTCCAGCACAATTTTAGCCATTGCTTCTTGTATTTATCCAAAACACTTCCACTAAAATTCTGTTGCTTTTTTTCTGATGGCTTGCATCCTTTTTTTTCATGTAATTTTTTCTTTTTCTGTATTGATTCACACACTCCATCTTTTTATCAAGATCTAGTCATTTCTCATTTCTTCAGACACCTTTCACTACACCACATTGCTCAATCTTCCATTCCCTGATTACAACATCTGATCTTAGGTGGCACATTTATATCTTAATGATTATTCTTGCATTATATTTTCTGAGTTTGTGTCAGGGCCAACTTTCAGGAGTACCACATACAGTAATGATACCACACATATAATCACGAGCTTTTTGGGAGAGGTATTTTTCCAAGATAATAGAAATCTCATTCTGTTGCAGAAAAAGTTCACTCAGAAATTCCTGAGGATTACCCAGCCTTTCAATCTGGGTTTTGCTGTTGTTTGCCATTTGAGCCTTTTTGGGCAGTTGTTGCATCTGTGGTCAGTAAGGTGCAGAATAGCTGGTGGGAAGGAGCTCTGCTGGGGTTGCCTTGCTCTGCAGGGCCAGGGAGTGTCAGGGAACCTCTCTTCTCCAAAACAAAGCACTGGTTGGACACATGCAAGACAGGCTGGACTCAGTGCTTTGTTAGTTGCAATTACTTCTTTCAAAAGTTCCGTTGTCTTGTTACAGTTTTTCTGCTGTCAGGCTGTGCAGTTGACACAGCAGCACACCTGAAGGTGGCAACAGTTCAGGCAGCAATAGTTCTGTTGCTCTGCAAATCCTAAGTGGATTGCTGCTTTCCTGTACCTGTAGTTAACTTAGCTGCTCAGTGGAATGCTTCTGCAGTTACCATTGAAACTTGGATATAAGTAATAAATAGGTGACATAGATGTTTAGTAGTGCAGTGACCATAATTAAGATTAGGAATATATTTTTTTTTGTGATTCTCATCCTCCTGGGAAATTTGTTTATCACAAAATGTGGAAGAACTGAAAATGCTATGTATTTCATAATGTAAAGGACATGATGTGCAATATGAGCTTGAAAAGAAGGAAGCATGCTAAAAAAGATAAACTGCTTGCTGACTGTCCAGTCCTGTTTTGTAGATCTCCCCCATCAGAATGATGGAGCGATCCATTCACAGTGCTAAATACATTTTTGTAGAGAATTTGTATCGCAGGTATGGTATATACTTCTCTACTTTACTTTCTTGGTTTAATTAGATGTAAATATATACATATATA